CACCTTGGCAAAAACCTTTTTGGAAACAACCGTCCAAGTTAATGATCCTTCTACATCCTCTCTCCCCCCTCCTCCTCCTCTTTGACTGCAGCAAAGCATTTGTAAATCTTGTTGAAGTAATTCTTACCATCGGGCATTGCATCCACAAAATTTTTAACAGTGGTTCCAGGATTTGATCTTTTAATCTCCTTACCATATGACCGTATTCTAGCATAATTTTCTTTAACCGTGCCTTCATCTAGACTCAATGCATACTTCTTGGCTCTCCTACACTGACTCTACTCACAACAATGCCAAAAGTGGTTTTCACCTCCTCTCTAAGTAATCTGACACTCATCTTTTGATTGTTAAAAAGTTGTTGGGTAAAGTGGGTACCTATCCATTTATAAGTGACAATTGATCCGAATTTGAAATTATGTGCACAATTAAGGTCACTAATAAGAGACTTGATTTGGAAAGACTGATCATCACTCATCAATGAACCCCAAACCCTAAATGTACATTTTCCATGTGACATCCCCATTTTCACGGCCAGAAAAGACCGATTTTGTTTATGCTTTATAAAAATCAGAGTACCCTTTTAATAAAAATGTTGCGGAATTTGTTCCCAGAAAATACATGATAAATACTTTATCAAAGCATTTCCGAAGAAATGTATTTTATTCATTTAAAACATTTGGGATGTCGTCTTCAATACAGAAACATAAGCATAAACAGAACTTACATTCATTTAAACTAGTGATCTACATCTCTTTTAAATCTCTCAGTGTAAAGTAGCTTCATATCGACACCTGTGATACAAATAAGCTTGAGTGGGTCAGGTTAGGAAACCTGGTGAGTACATAGGGTTTTCAACCCAAAATAATATAATTATGTTTAATCATTAAACAATCAACCCAATTACCCATCCCCATTATCTTCTTTATTTCTTAAGGATCTCCCCTTAAAATCATTTATCGTTCACTCATTCAGTCCTAAGGAGTAGGCACGAAGTCCATCGTTGCCAATGACACAACTGTCAATATTATCTATTAAGCACAGCTGCCAATACTATCATTTAGGCACAGCTGCCAGAATTATGACATTCTCTATTAGGCGCAGCTGCCGAAATTGTCCTTTGGGCGCAGCTGCTAGGGTTATAATGTTCTCTATTAGGCGCAGCTACCGATACTATCCTTAGAGCGCAGCTGCTAGGATGTTTAGAGTAGATCAAAAACATCTACAGGTTGTGGCGCAGCTGCCAATGCTCATCTATAGGGTACTAGGTCCATTGTTGCCAATGTTCACCTATAGGGCACTATGTCCATACTGCCAATGTTCCTCTATCGCTTTCATTTCATCCCTCATCATTCATCTACCCATGTTTTACCCAACATATTTTGTAGATATAAAATACTATACAGCAGTTTAAATCATTTAAAACATGTATAAAATCGTTCATCCAACATAGATAACAAGTATACAGATAATATGCACACATAGCACGTAATTTATATAAAATACTTCATATCTATGTGTAAGATGAAAGTAACTATGCACTCACCTGAAAAGGTGGTGACTCGGCACTCGGACAGCACTTCGTTACTCTTAAAACATTTTTCCCTTTACAAAACCTAGTATCAATACCACTAGGGTTTAGTCTAACGTTAACTGCGATTAATTAATAGTCTAGCTATTATTACTATTATATAAGCGTTAAACAATACTCTTCACCCACTATGTACAGACAGGGGCCAGACATGGAACACCGGAGGGCATGATCATTTTGACATATAGCACTTCTAAAATCCAGCAACCCAAGTGGCCCTCCAAACCAGATTCCCCGTACCGCGAGTGGTTAAAAAGATATTATAACGACACTTATATAACTCATAATCATAGCCCAAATACTTATTATAAGGTCCTAATAACATTACTATATTAAAACATAAGCTATACTAAAGATAGGGTAGGCATAGCTCACTTACAGTGGGTTTTCTCGAAAATCGGGCTTCGCTGGAGCAGAGTTTCTTAGCCGAAAGGCTCTTTTTCTGGGCTTCGGGAGCCTCGGGGCTTCCTTCGGGGCTAGGGGTTTACCTAGACTTTAGGGGGCTTAAGGGAGGCTAGAGAGAGAAAGCAGAGAGAGAAAGTGAAGTTGGATGGTGTGGAGAATGAAGGGAACCCGACACCTCTATTTATAGGCTGTCTGGCAGCTTGACTCGTCGAGTCCACCTCCAACTCGTCGAGTCCATGGCCAGGTGTCAGCATTCTGGTGACGAAACGTGCGTGGCCTACATTGTGCCACGTCACCCCTTTAGCAGCAGCACCCTGCCGACTTCTAAACCCCGTAACTTTCGCATATGAGCTCCATTTTTGACGTTATTATATTCCACCGCGTAGTAAAAACAAATATCTACAACTTTCATTTTGACTTCGTTGGCTAATTCTTGGCCGATCTTAAATTTAACAGTATGAGAAGATTATACTGTTAAATGACTGCGTAAAATTCATAACTTCTACATACGGACTCCGTTTTCGTCTGTCTTTTTATCGTTGAGCTCCTATTAATGAGATCTTCAATTCTCATTTAGGTCGCGTTGGCCAAATCGCTCGATCTATAATTTGAATTTCAGGTTGTGCACTACTTTGCCAAATCTTAGAAAAATCATAACTTCCTCATACGAAGTCAGATTTGGGCGTTCTTTTTTTTTTGTATGTTCTCGGTTTAACGTATACTACAACTTTCATTTAGATCTCTAAGGCTAAAAAATAGTTTATCAACAAATCACTTTTTACGATTCCCGGTGTCGTGCCGGTTTTGCCGTAAAACTTGGACAGCTCATAACTTCTTCGTTATAACTCAGATTTCAGCGTTCTTTATATGTACGGAACCCTTGTGACATATACTGTAACTTGGATAACATTATTTATTCTAAATAATCTTCTATTAAAAAGTCATTTTTGACGCTTATTGTCTCTAAATTGACTAGCCCGAATCTGCGGGCGTTACATTCCATCACAATATTTAGCGAGCAACCGTCTACTATTATTTTTCACAAAACATAATTGATAAGCATTTGCAACAACATGGTTACAGAGCATGCGTTTCAATTGTTTAGGACTCTCAAATCTCATACCTAACACAGGTTCCTGCTCCTTCCACTATAGCTTTTCATTGAAAATATTTGGCAACTCAAGATAAACATCTTCATTGTCATCCATGTCTTCTTCTAAAGGTTCACCCAAACCTGCATTCTCACCCATGTTGACATCAGACCCATTATCCTTTTTGAAAAAATGAGGGCTGCTAAGGTCATCTTCATCGTCATCAACATCCACATCCTCAGCCATATGGTCATCCTCATCCTCATCCAAATGCCCTATCTCAAATTCCTTAATTAGTCCTACACCATCCATCACTTCTTCCCCTATGTTATCAACAATCTCTTCTTTGTGTTCATCCAACCATTCATGCATGTTACTATTACCAAAATGGTCTACATACATAGGGAGTATAACACCACATTCATAAGCAACTGCTATAAAATCGGCATCATCCATCTCATTGGAAATTAAGGTCAAAGCTTTAGGAAAATCAATATTTGGTTGGCAGTAATAGAGCTTCTCACACTTTTCTCCATTGAACCTTTCGATAAACTCATAACACCCGTTCTTGTCCATGCCTGCGAAATCGATGTAGGACAACCTTTGAGTAATCCCACCGGTGTAGCGTATGGGGTATTTGGCGAAGATTCCTTGGAAGTGCACATCGACTTGGATGAATACGAGATCCGTGTTTGAGGTTTCAGGAGACGAAAGCAAGTAAGAGTTTATCGAAAGAGATGGAAGTGGTGAACAGTTGACGAGAAAAGGTCTCGTTTAAAATCGGTAAAGCTATGTAATGAACAGTGAGTGAACAAATTATTATGTGACATTATTTAATGACATGACAATGTACAATATACACAGTTAGCATCAGTAGCGGACGCAGACTGTTTTAGTAGGAGTGTCCCTCGTACTTCAAGCCGGTGCACATAATAGAAAAAAAAATTACACTACGTGCCGGAAATTGAGCAGTGGCCCGGGACCCCCAATGCTCCACTAAGGTCCGCCACTGGTTAGCATGCTATTGGGTTAAGTAAAATAGGTGGCATAAATATAACCAACTGACCCCTTCATAAATGAAATAATGACGTAATAGTGGCTCGGGACCCCAATGCTCCACTAAGGTCCGCCACTGGTTAGCATACTATTGGGTTAAGTAAAATAGGTGGCATAAATATAACCAACTGACCCCTTCATAAATGAAATAATGACGTAATCGACCCGATAAAATAATGTCCGTTCCCTCATAAAGTCACTTAAAAAGTTAAGTGCCTGAAAGGCAAAGTTCATAGGGCGTATTTGTTTTGTTCCCCTTTTATCATTTAATGTATGAAACTTTAGATTTTTTTATATAAAACTTTAGATATTTATTTTTGCAACTTTAAATTTTTATGTTAAAACATTATAACTTATATTTGGAAAATCGCAAAACTAAGTTTTTTTTTTTAGTTAACATTTGGTTTCCTCGGTTTCTAAAGCGAATTAGAATTCGATTTTCGTTTTGGTCTACAAAATTTGAATTCGATTTGGTTCGATTTTCGAATTGGAAGAAAAAAATCAAACAAAGGAAATTGAATCGATTCCCACCCCTACTTCTAAGTCCTAAAGTTGGTAAGTTTCGAAATCTTAATCCTTGAAGCTTAAGAATTTTCTTGCGTGACAAATACGGAACCATAATGGAAACTAATAGATAGTATGTTCATAATATCAGGATAGTTTCCTTATTTATCTTAATAGACAGCTTCCATTTTTATAAGCATTCGAGAAGGTCAAGGATTCTACTTTGTAACTCTATATATTTGCCAATGGAAATTATATTCTAAACAGACTTCTGATTCAAAATCATCTGGACTTCTTTTTGGTGACCTGTGAACGATTAGAGAGAGTGTACAAAACCCTAGAAAAAGTTGAAGGAGATGGAAAGATCGAGCCCAAAGCACAGGGATAAGGATTCAAGCAAAGACTACAAGCATCGAAGCAGCAAACACGCCGATGACCACCATATCTCCAAACACAATAAACACAGTGACACCTACGGAGATGATCGACGAGAACCTGAGAAATCTGATGGTGGTGAAGATGGGGTGAAGCGTGAGAGGTCATCATACAATAGAGAATTGAGAGAGAAATCGGTGGATAACAGATGGCGCCACAACCACAAGAGGAAAGATAGAGGTGTAGAGTGTGATGAGGATGATAAACGAACAGATGGGTCTTCTACAGATGATGTTAAGAGCGGAGGCATCTCTCTCGTTGCCTTATCAAAGGCCAAAGCAACATTACTGAAGCGAAAGGAGCTTGCAGAGAAGATGAAGAAGATCCCCATGTTAAACAAGGGTGCTGACTCAGCAAGAGATGGCCTGAAACCTCCATCTAGTTCACGAATACCACCTCCCCCGCCACAATCTGCGACTGCTGGTGGGCTGCCCCAACTTCCAGAGTTTACTGCCCCAATGTTTGAACCTGTAAAACGGGCACAAGAACTTGCTGCCAAGATTTGTTTTAGACAAGACCCGGAATTTGCCCCGCTTATAAGCATGTTTCCAGGACAGCTGGCGCCAAAGTTGACTGTTCAATCTGAGCCTTCAAAGGCTCTTGTTCTTCGTTTGGATGCATTCAATAGGGAAGTAGATGAAAATGGCAATGTGGTAAATATACCAAAGGTAAACAACCTGAGCACCATTAAGGTTAACATTAACAAAGAGAAAAAAGATGCATTCCAGATTCTGAGACGGGAGTTAGAAGTGGACCCTGATAAAAACCCTCACTTTGATTGGCGAATGGGAATTGATAAAAACAAGCTTTTAAGGCCTAAAAGGATGACCTTTCAGTTCGTGGAGGAAGGCAAATGGACTAAAGATGCAGAAATCACCAAGTTGAAGAGTAAATTTGGTGAATCACAAGCGAGAGAGTTCAAAGCAAAACAGGCACATCTTATTCCTGATATTGAGTGGTGGGACGTGTCAGTTCTTGATATACTAAAGAAAGAGAAGATTACTTTATACATAGAACACCCCCGCCCAATCGAGCCGCCATTTAAACAGGCCCCACCGCCACCTCAGCCCCTAAAACTTACCAAAAAAGAACGCAAAAAGCTCCGCACTCAAAGACGTCTCGCCAATGAAAAAACCAGGCAAGAAATGATCCGACAAGGGCTTCTAGAACCCCCAAAACCCAAAATTAAAATGAGCAATCTAATGAAAGTCCTCGGGTCAGAAGCCACCCAACACCCAACCCGTCTCGAAATGGAAATCAGAAGCGCAGCCGCCGAACGCGAACAAGCTCATATTGACCGGAATAACGCCCGGAAATTGACTCCGGCGGAAAGACGCGACAAGAAAAAACGAAAAACTTTTCAATGACGATAATACGCTTGAGACAATTGTTTCTGTGAATAAAGTAGAATCCTTGACCTTCTCCAATACTTAAATATGGAAAATACTAGTATCTAATAGGAACTTGACCATGATTTCTTATATCCTAGAAACTAAGATTTCTTATTCTTTGTCTCATGATTCCATAATTTTAATCCGTATATAGTTAGAGCGTAACATATATGTTAATTTTAGTAACACTACAACATGATATATAGACACATTTAGCACCACATAAATACAAATATCATTATTTTAGCATAAGTTTAAAGTTTATACAATTCAAATTTGACTAAGTCAAAATTAAAGATTTTTTTTCAACTGAAGTGCCTCAAGTATAGACATGATGTGGTTCGGGATGTTCTCTTTGATGCTTGTCGGCGTGCTGGTATTTCTGTCAAAAAAGAAGCGTCAGTGAACTTTTTGACGGACCCGCAGGATGGAAGGTCCACATTTAGACCGGCTGAAATTTTGGTCTTTGGATGGATAGGAGGGAAGCATGCGTGCGTGGATCTTACTGGGGTCTCTCCTCTCGTTGGTTTGGGGAGCGGGGGTTTCACAGCTGGGCATGCCGCTTTGAAAGCCGCTGCGTGCAAAGTGGTAAAGCACGAGAGTGCATGTATAGAAAATCAACATGTGTTTGTTCCTTTTGCATTCGATACATTTGGTTTTCTCGCACGAGAGGCGGTGGAGCTCCTCAATAGAGTCCAACGGGGTCATGCATTCTAATGTCATATCTCATAGATCCACAAATGTTGTTTTTAAAAGAATTGGGTTTGCCATCCAGAAAGGGCTAGCGGCGCTGCTTGTTGCCCGTTTGCCTTCGATCGATATGTATTGAACTAGTCTTTAGAATATTAAAAAATCGTTCAGTTTGAAACCGAAAACACCTATGCTAATTTAAATGGGGAACATTGGTCAAACAGAAAGAAAGAAAGATCAAAAAAGCAAGTATCCTTCTTGTACACAGTAACTCGAAAGCTCATACACAAACTTATCTATGTTCGCTAAAGATCATTATTCATAAAAGACCTTCTATTAAATAGTTGCGACATCAAATGAGTTTTAAAATCATTACTTTTATTTGCTTATTTTTGTTTCCTCTCTACTCAACTCGTGCTCTTTACGTTTACGATGTTCCGTATTTTCTTTCATTGAAATTTTTCCCTCGATAAAAATACACAACTTTGGTCCTTCTAAAAAGTTCAATGAACCACATTTAATTGGTTTCTTTGTTAGATATCAATGATAAAGAAGCAGCTTAGGAACCTTTTTTTTAAGAATTTTTAAATACATTGCTATTACAGGTAAGCACATTCTAATTAGGTGACATCAGAAAAGGTATTTCCTATTCCTGTATCGGTCCCATCACCATTATGTGTTCGATTCTGGTTGGAATACAGTGTGTCATCACCCTCACTTGATCGACCACATGTGACCCTATACAAAATTCCAACGCGGTTTTGTTCATTAGTAATTGTTGCAACCAAAGGGTTTGTAGTCTAGTGGTATTCGGTGTTGCCTTCTCTCCTTGAGGTCAAGGGTTCAAGTCCTATGAGGAACATAGGTGGAGATTTAGGAGTAGAAAAAATTTGTCGTTCCAAAAAAAAAAAAGTAATTGTTGCAAAATATTGTTGTTGACACCATAATATCCGTTTCCTTTCTTATTATTACGAAACATATACCCATACTTTAAATACTGATATTTTAAATGTTGTTAAAGATTAATCATATTTTCCAAAAAAACTCCACCATCTCTAATACAAGTTTGGGAAGGTTTTGTGGTTATAGTCAGGAAAGTTAGGAAAAACCATTTCAAAAATAGGGTTTTGTGACATTATATAATGCCAATCAATTCCTTGAAAGAAAGGGTGATTTTTTTTAGTGAATTATGACCCTCACGTCCTGCATCGGTGTTTTTGTTGGATAGGTGTCCTCCATCACTGTTGAAATTTAATTTACTCTAAATGGCATAATAGAAAAAACAAAAAATAGGAAAAAGCCAACATGATACTACATTTGAAAGGACTGTATATTGCTAGCATTCATAAACTCATACAAAACGTAATTGTCATATAATAAAAATTAAACGACAAAACTTCAGAAATGATCCATGTGGTTTCACAAAATCTGAAGTTTAGTTATTAAGTTTAAAATACCGCACAGATGGTCCCCATGATTTCAAAACTTTGGATGTTTGGTCATTATTGCTCACTTTGTAAATTTTTGTTCGTTAAGTGAAGGACATTTTCATCATTTCACTACCACATAGACCATTTATGAAGTTTTGCATTATTTAAAAAATAAAATATAATTATTTAATATAAAAGGGTCTCTCTCTCTCTCTCTCTCTCTCTCTCTCTCTCTCTCTTAATTTAACATCTATAGAGACAATCAACAAACTCATTACGCTCTTGTATAAAGTCATAGTTATTTGTTGAGTGTTAATGTCATAATCAGATTCATAGGCCAAAACAAATGTCTATGGAAGAGATTTCGGTTTTGTCGTTCTACATCTTGCAAAAAGACCATTATAATCTTGCATATATCAGAAAAGATTCCATTACCATCTCATGTATTTACATGTTTTTTTTAGTAAATTGAAGTTCTTATTATTGTGGAGAACCCACATCAAATGTAGATTAAAACGAAAACCCATATTCTTTCTTTTTGAAATTTATTCTCTGTTTTCATCGGGAACTAATGTGAAGTTAGCATTCTCCGTTTGGATTTGTTAGAATATGGTGTCATCATGAATACCAGAGTCACCATAGATGCATCTTTGTTCAACTTAATATTCTTCACCTTTCCTACTAAAGGAAAACCATTAACCAAATTTATTCTCTGGATCCAAAGATCAGACTCCTCTAGCTTATCTGGGTTTCAGCTGTACTATTAAAGCAATTGAGCATAATTCACAAACCCACACCAAAAAATCGAGCACAAACCCTAATTTCGTGCAAATGAAGTAGATGGAGTTTATAACAGAAGAAGAGGGATGCAGTTTGTTTTCTGAAAACCAACACCAAATCCCCACCCTCCATGGTGACGCTATACCATCTATATCACCACCCCTGATTTTTGAATCCGACGTTAAGCCATCTGCATCTCCATTTTCATCCAAAGACATCTGCCCTAAAAACCCCATCTTTGAACATCTATCCACTACCATCTCCACCAACGGTATCAAACGCTCCAAAATAATTATGCATAAATATTCTCAACGTCTCTACCACCATCCCTTCCATCATGTTCCACCAACTCCCCACATCGCTATTCCACCATAATTGTCTTCTGATTTCACGACCCTAAATTTTAGGATCACATAGCTTTACAACCCAATTTTCAACAACTCGTAGACAACCATTAGAGATTTGGGGCGAGGTGGTGGTAACCGGTGGTGGTGGTGGTGGTGTCGGCTGGAATGTGAAAGAAGGAAGAATATATCTCTAAAAAGAATGAGGAAGATGGTGTTTGGGAGGGGGAGAGAGAGAGAGAGAGAGAGAGAGAGAGAGAGAGAGAGAGAGAGAGAGAGAGAGAGAGAGAGAGAGAGAACTTTTTATATTAAATAATTATATTTTTTTCCTTTTTCTAAATAAGGGAAAAACTTCATAAATGGTCATTGTAGTAGTGAAATGATAAAAATGTCATTCACTTAACGAACAAAAATTGACAGAGTGAGCAATAAGGACCAAACATCAAAAGTTTTGAAACCACGGGGACTATCTGTGAGGTTTTTTAAACTTAGCGACTAAAATTCAGATTTTGTGAAACCATAGGGACCATTTATGAAGTTTTGTCAATTTAAACTAATGCCGACAAAATGTTAATCAAAATCTAGCTAGAGAAGCTTGCTTCTTACATCAAACTAGACTGGATACATAAGGATTGATGATTTTTGTAGTCTTGTCAGTTTATGATGTATGATAGTATGGGTATTTTCGTATTATTTTTTGGGTAATTCGGGTCGGATTGATCGATTTTTACCATTAAATATATAACCGATGCCCGAACCAAATTATAATTCGCATATACATGTGATGACATGTTCGTGACTTTGTGGTGGTGGTGATGAAGATTGGAAAATGGAGATTGAAGGAAGAAAAAAGAAAGAGAAAAATTAGGGTTAGAATCGGAAGAAGAAGGAACCAAAGTTTCTTTTCTTGGAGATGTATATAAGCTCTCCAACACAAAAGAAAGAGAAAGAAAAGCATGGTAGGTATTACCCAAAGGTTTTTTCTTTCAGTGCTTGCCCAAAAAACAAGATTTACAAGCATCATTATGTTTTCATCTGTAACTATAAAGAAAATGACAATCAAATAAATAATTAAAGACTAAAAAAGTAGGGATGACGAAGTTGATTGTACATGTTGTCGGAGAGATGATATTAAGAGCAATGGAAGTTAGATCAACATCGTGAGTGGACGTAAATGGTTATAAGTCACTGGTGTTGTTGCATCTCGTGATAATTCTCCGTGTTGTTAGGTCCTTCACAGAAAAACGAAACGGGTCAAATTCAAGGGAAACATGGTTATAATGAGTAAATTTACGAATTTTAATAATTTAAGCGACATCATGTACATATTTTATAGTGTAGATATGGTTATGATATAATGTGGTGGTTTTTCAATGACTAGTGATTGGAATACGTGTTCCATTAAGAATGAAAATATAATGTGTTTTTCTTAAAGTAAATAATTTAAAATTTTTAACCATGTTACCAGTAAGGGGAGAAGTGGAGCATGTATCCATGTACCATACATTATGAAGAGATTGTACGTGTATGGCATTAAAGACGTTCTAAACTTTATTAGGATTCATGATGGGATATTGAACGGATGAGGTGTCATAGCTAAAGTGTATATGTGGTTGTTTTGAGGTTGATGTTGGAAATTGGGAACGGGACGAGGTTCGAGAAGGTCCGCTTGAATGTGTGTTGTTTATTAGATTAAGGTGTCTAAGGTCTTAACTAAATTGGTATAATCTTA